ATATTTTCTTTTAAATTTTTCTCAATTTACTTTAATTTCTATCTCTTGCCCGAAAAGCAATTTCAACAATTAATTAAGCTTAAATTGTAAATATCAAAAAAAAATTAGTAAAGTATTTAACAATTTGAATATAAATAATTAAGGATACTAATTAGGATCAGAATCGGTTAATTTGATTTTTTTTTTTTGAAAATTTTAATAGTGACGCACATCACTTCCACAGATTAAATTTCTCAACAGAAAGCTTCATTAAATAAACTCAGATCCAGGTACAATAAATTTGGTGCATTTACAAAATGTATTACAAACAATGTAAATGCGCCAAGTTTCAATGCTATAATTGTAGATGAAGCAAATTTAATATTTAAAACGCCATAGATAGTCACTTAACTTCTTATATATCATAAGCAATTGAATTTAAATATTAATCAAATCATTAATCTAATCAAGTTAATTAAGACAACTCCTTATAATTTCATCACACCTTTTTCTTTTGACTCGATACAACAATATATTATATGATTTTATATCCAAATTTATTTTTGCTTTGCTTAATCAAAATAGATTAGTAATCCATCTTCTTATTAGGTTAATTTATTGATGAACAGGCACCTGTTGTGTTTATGCCCAAGCTTGTCCAGATTTCAGGCCGATCTATTGGGCACACCATTCTTGAACACACTCGGCGATATTTGCAACATTAGTATTGGCAAGATATTTATATTTTTCATTGCGTCTTGGTTCTAATATATCCATATTTTTAGTACAATTACGAGAAATGTGGAATTTAGCTTAAAAAACTGTAATGATATTATTTAAAAACTTCTCTTTTTCACCTACTACGTGATTGTCTGTCGTATAATAACCTGCGATTTTTTGCATTTGTGCAGATGAAAAATAATGGAAATGTTTTTTTGTATATAATGTTTTTTGTGTTATTTATATTATAAAATAAAAATCCTATTTCAGAAAAAATAATTAGTTAATAGTCAGTTTAGCCTTCTAATTTATTTTTAAGTTCAATCACCTTTTGAAATTTGTAAAGAGAAAACTGAGGCCTTTTTTTGGCTTTTATTTTACGAAATCTTTTTTCTTTTTTTTTTGCAAACACACCAGTGTTCTTTTTTCAAGAAAATCGATAAATACAATACGTTATGCATGTTAGGTAATCACCTGACTGTTGATTTGATAATGGAATGTAATGGTAGATCTCTGTCTAATCTATTTTCTATAAACTATTAAAAAATCCTTTTTATTGCATTGAAATCATTTCAAACAGCATTTTTTTCATTATTTTGAATAAACAAAATCTAGTCGTTAGTTTCTAAATCTGATTTAGTTTCTAAACAGGTACGCCCATTCTTCAATATTTTATTATTGTTTCAAATAAAAATTAAATATTTCTTATAAGAAATGTGTATAATGTGTGTATAGTTTTTCCACATTATGCTTGCATGAAGTACCATATAAGACAATGCCATATTAGAATACCTATGGCAACGCATAGCGCCGCCACTGCCCTCCACTCTAATTTCGGTTCTGGCTGCTTCATGTTTTCAAAAATATAGTTTTTTGTTTATTATTGAAAGGAGACTTTTTATAAAACCTAACTGTTTAAGGTTTTTATAAATAAAATAAGTTTTCATATCCAATTCTAATTAGAACTCTTGATATTCTAATTGGAAGAATTCGCTGTTATCGACGCAGATACAATTGCAAATGAATTATTAAACTCAACGAAGAAGTCCCTCATAATATTAGGACTTTAAGTAATAGTTTCTAAATTAATTCAATACTTAAGTGGCCATCTTATTTAGATATATGTCAAACATATTTATTATAGGTACTGCGTTTATTCTAAAAATACTTTATTTTAAAATTGTTTTTATTAAAACATTACTTTCTTTACGTGAACTGGGCTTGAATACTGTCATGCAAATCAATTTTTTCGGTAATTACACAAACCCAAACACATGAATAAATGTGTTGTATCAAGTGTGTGTGTGTGTTTGTGTGTGTTTCTGTTACACCTGCAATAACGTTAGTATTCGTTTTTGTTTTAATTTACTTATTTGTCTATGTCCAAAAAATTGCGTTGGTATAAGAACCAGCAACAGAGGCCCTGTTAAAGTTTTTAAGCTTAAAATTGGTTCTTTTTTAAGTTCAACTAATCAACCAAACTAATCGTATACAATTACAACAACTACAACAACAATGGCAACCAACATTAACTGCATATGAAATATAATCAATGGCGGAGAAAAAGAAATATTTCTATCAATTTATATGCTAATTTTAGTGATTATTGATGTTTTGACCCAAATTCCGTTGAAACAGTTGTTGCATTTTATTTTTAAATATCATTTCTGCTCTTTGTGGTTGTTCTTGTTTTTGTTTTTGTCATTCTTCTTTCTTTACTTAGTAATTTGAATTAGTTTTCTGATATAAAATAACCATTTAATCACATACAAATATTTTTTTAATATTCAAGAAATATTGAATTTCAAATTTTGAAACGAGTTTTGTTTATCGGTCAAATTAATTGATAATTAAATAAATCTTTTATTTAATAATAGAATATTACTATACAATTAAAATTTATATTTATATCTATGAAAGGCATATGTATATGTACACATATATATAATATAATATATTATTATTATTATAGTTTATAAAATAAAGTAAAAACAGTTTTTATGGAAAATGATCTATTTATTATCATTTATTCTCTGTGATCTGAACTCAGACAATACACAAAGTTTATAAAGAATAGCATTTTTCATTCAATAAGATAAATGAAAGAAGCATCACCTCTGACTCAAAGTAATTGATTTTGGAAAATGAAAAATCTATTAAATATTGAAATAGTTAATTATTTCAATTTCTTTATATATTATTTAATATTACAATATTAAAATATATCACAATAAAATTCCAATTAAAGTTCACAATAAATAAATGAATTGGCAGCACTGGATATCAGTTATTTAGGTAAGTTGGCACCTAGACTTCATGGTCTTCAGCGAAAGCAGTTGTAACCTTATCAAGGTCAGTGTTCCTTACTTGTGTGTCATTTCGCACAGGTAATCCTGATATTCTGGAAGCGATTTCAATTTTCCGGGCAAGTCTATATAGCAATGGATTTCAGTAAAATGTGGTATTATAACTATTTTTTTTGCCTTACGCTGTATACCGATGTCGCTTACATCTTGAAATTTATTAAAATAATAAAATACTTGAGTTGATATTAATAGTAACAAAATTTGAATTTGTCGAAACTTTAGCATACTTCAGATAATATTATAAACATATCATTAACAAGTATTATTGGAGTTTCTTTCAGGAGCATAACAGAATTTCAAATGACATGAAGAACTCTTGTCAGTCCCAGCGTTATACACCTATTTCCTAACTATATGCAGGCATTTAAAATAGCTGAGTTTTACGTTTATGAGTAACAAAAATCGAAAACAACGTTGTGAATCGTAATGAGAGGTTCCAGAAGTTTTCTACAGGTCGTTAATGTGTACCAGATAATGAGCCTATGTTTAAAAATATCAAAGCAGATAAAATTAAAAAAACGTGGTTGTATATTGACATCCTAAGGATTGTGTGAACCATTGATCCCTTGCAAATTCCTAACAAAAGGAAACTTGACCCAATTCCCAATGAGTAAAAAAATTTTCTATTATTACATATCTAGCGAGCCTCATGGACCGCTAGAGTATCATTCTGAATAACTACTACAATTTTCAGATAGTTTAGTAGATGATACTTCAGTAGACGTTTTTCTACGACTTGTATTCAAAATGGACTCGCAATTAGTGTTATATGTAACAAAAACTATTTTTGCAATAGTTACTGCTCTTGTGAAGAAAAAAAAAATTGATATTACTTTCATACAGTTCTGTGCTAAAGATTATATATCTTTGCAATGGGCCTTTTTTAGTTTAAGTGTTTGTGGTTAACATTATCCGTAATTAAAATCCCCATAAAAACGTAACAGATGTTTTCAGTTTAGAATCATATATGTTTATTGTGGTTACACCAGTATAGTCAAGTAATAGAAAATTATAAACTAATTTTTTTCCGATTCAAAACAAATTACCACGCTTATGAAAACGGAATTGAATAGTAGGTAAGGTTAATGGATATTTAATGGAATGAAAACTAGCATATTCGATTTCAAGATGTACTTTTTAAAAAATTGAGTGAAATATACCATGGCATTTTATAGTAATTTCTTAAAATACTACATTTATATTAAAAATAAGGGGGACTTATTCTTAAGTTATAAATATCCGATGATGTATTCATGTTAATTCATGTTTATTCATAATAAATTTGAAACATTATTAGTATTTCAATAATTTTTAGGCACTGGATTATTATTATATTTCAAGAAATTAATTAATAAATCATTAATATTTAATATTTTTAATCTTACACATAAAATTGAACAATAGTTCTGTCTTTCAATTATTTATATTTTAATTTTAATTTAAAATTTTTATGAATTATAATTACTTGTGTAACTACCTATTATGTATAAATATTGGGATTTTAAATGGAAAATATAATCATAAATATTTATAGTAAAATCCTTGTAACTAATACTAAATTAATTTCTTATATCTATATTTCTTATATTATTTCCATATATTATTATTATTTATTAATATATTGTGTTTTATGAATCCTTTACTATACTTAATAAAAATTAATAATCTTAAAGGTAAAAATACTAATACAAGATAAACTTTTAATCAAGAGTCTTTATATGCAATATTATTTTATAAAAATATTCAAAAAATTCATATAAAAACTAATTAATTTTAACAATAATAATAATAAACACCTAATATATTATGTATATTTTCAGATAACTATGAGTTCTTCAAACAAATGGACTTTTTTTCAGAATCACAAAAATTGAATAAAATAAACATTGTCTAGAGTAAAAAGTTAAAGGCCTAAAAACTCTAATTATTTATTTGAGAACACTGAAAATAAGAGTTTTAATTCCCGAAGAAAAGACCTTAATTAATTTTGCTTTATGTTGCACCCTACCATGAAGTTTTCCAGTATGAACGGGCCAAGTGAATCTGAGGTAGAAAGTTTACTTATGAGTCCTTGCTGGGGTCCAACACAGAGTAGCAGCCAAGATCAATATTTACTTGATGGTCATAAATTATTGCTAGAACATGACCTTGACTCCCTGCCAAGCGATTCCGAACAAAAGAATTCATTAGATGTGCTCGACAATCTTTTACTGAATTCAACTTCGTTAAATGCATTATCAGATTTAAAACCTCTGCCACCATTTACGGGCTATACAGGTCACCTATCAATAAATGGTATATCAGGACACCATTATCATGCAATCGCTCAGAGGCTACCCGATGAAAGTAATAATAATTACATACAAAGTGCTTATCAAAGTGGCTCTTCAAATACAGCGACTAGTGGGACCACAATACAACTGACTGCAACCTCGTGTGGCACGTCGCCAGTGCCCAATGGCAGTGGCAACAGTCATGGTTCATCAGCGGATCATAATATTGTTTCATCGTCAACTTGCCTGCCCGAAAGTGTGCTGAGCACCGATGCAGATGCCTGTCTAAACGATGTAAAACTCTTCGGCGATAGTCAATTAGATGGTAAGCTTTACTCAGTGGCTGATAGTTGTGTTATGTCAGGTGGTGTCAATGCTGGCATTGATCATGGACCCGACTCAATACATGGTGGAGTGCGCATTTATACAGATGCAAAGGACTTAAGCGAGTATGTTGATATGAATTCTATAGATGATATAGCAGCAATTATTGGGTCTGCAATAGCTGATACCACAGTACCAAATCAGCTCGATAAAGAAGATGGAAACGATACTCGAGATTCGTGGATGGATTTAGATGCATGGATTGACGGTAACTGTATACAACAAGACGGCAAATTGGTCGTTTCACAGCAGGACCCACTAAGTGATTTCATTTTACCACACTCACCCGTACACACAAGTAGTTCTACATTACAAAGTCTATTAACGCATGGTTATATGCCACTGCTACAAAATCGCCTACAAAATGGTCCACCAACAACGTCATCTATAAAAAGCGAAACGCCGAGTTCTACCTCATACTGCAACGAACTTCACACCGCCTCGTCTACATCCAGCCCACCTGGTTCAGTTGTATCAACTACCGATAATTTAATGATCAATCCACGCTATCTTACAAATCCACAGCAATATCAAGTCAGTATGTCCACAATGAAATCAGATGGTATTTGTAGCCCTGATATGTTGGGCAACTATCCACATACCACAACTGTTACGCCCACCAGTACACCCAAAGCCAAACGATCACGTTCACAGAAAAAAACAAATCAACAACAACAACAACAGCAAACACCAAATGGTCAACAAACAAACGGCAATGCAGGACCACAACAAATGAACGCAATATCACCATCATCTGTTAGCTTTAATGCCAATGATTTAAGTGGATTATTAGGTAAGGAAAAACCAGTGCATCGATGTAGTATATGCAATCGAGGTTTTCTAAATAAAAGTAATATCAAGGTACATTTAAGAACACATACGGGCGAGAAACCATTTCGTTGCGACGTCTGCGCTAAGGCGTTTCGACAAAAAGCACATTTACTCAAACATCAACAGATACATAAGAGAATTGGGCGTGACTGACAAGATATAGATCACGCTAAGACGGTTGATAAAACAAATCTAATGCTGCGGTTGAAGGTGTCCTAATTGCAAAAAAGTTTGAGGTAACCTTTCTGCACTTTTAGAACACTAATTGCAATACTTAGATTATATTATTATGTAAAAGCATTACACAACTATGCATATGTTTAGAAATGCCTAATATTATCTCTTCGAGCTACGATTAGGACATTCCTGAAAAGCATAGTTGTGTTAAATGCTTTTCTAGTGTATACAATTGCTTTACGCTAATGCAGACAGGCATACTTTCATATTACTGTACATTTGTGGAACTATTGCATCTAGTATTTCTTTAAATAAACAAAGTACTACAAAACTTCCACTTAAGCACAAATATGAAATTCTTTCAGAAACGCATTTATTGCATTATAATATATAGAGCAGTTTTATACACAACTTTGTTATTCGTTGTTGTTGGTTGCTTTTGATCTCTTAGTTATTGTTTAGATGTACAGAAATATTATAAAATTGAGTAGAGCTTTAAGAAGATACAATTTCAATGAAATATAGTCAAAAATTTAGGATATTATTTAGCTTGGGATTCGCTTTATGAAATATATTATGACAGGTTTGCATATACAATGTAGAAAATTTAGCTATCCCATAATTTTTATATCTTAAGTATAACATAAACTATTCAAAGTATATCCAACATATACTCATCTATTTTATTTTCCAATCACATATTTACAAATTTATTATAAATTTATAACAGCTAGCCAAGCTGTTATGAACAGAACCATCCGTGTAGAATAGATTAATTCAGAATGTGATAGATTATCTATAACAATTTACATAAAATTATTTCTTCAATTTCTTTTGTAAAAATAAGTCTAGTAATAAGAAAGTAGATCCTAATAGTACACACAAAATCTATTTCTTCACTACTTGATTCAGAGTCTACCTTTTATATGAGGAAAACTAACAAGTGACGTAGCTTGCATAGTTGAGTCTTTAACTGGCTAGTTGGTTTATACTCTTTTTTAACTCGAGGTATTTTCAAAACCCCTCTTTACACCTTGACACCTTGATTCTTGTTTATCACTTCATCAGACTAAGGAATAATTGACCTCAGATCTGCATACCTCCCCGAGGAGCCTGTAACCATTCTAAGATTTGATAACGTGGTGTTGGTAAGTCTGTCAGATTTCGCAAATAATTTCAGGGCTCTATCCTTTATGTATTTTTTGTGTATGTTATACTAAATGCGTCCATATTGATTTGTTAATAAAATACCGATTTAATATTATTCGATTTAATTGTTATACTTGCCGCAAACTTGTAGCTAAATATCGACAATACACGTTGAATTTATTGCCAATGACAACGCAAAAACTAAGAATCCCTGAGCACTAGACTAATATTCCTTATTATAACCTTCTACTTAGATGTTCTACTTCAGCATATAACGTCCAGTATCGATGAGAACAAGATTTTATAGATGTTAAATGTGTCTATACAATATGGACTTAATTGGATTTAAAATATTCCACATTAATGAAAACATATTTAGTATTTACTTACAACTGATTGAAAGTAGTTCCTCTCTTGGATTTTGCAAGATCGAATCAGTTATTATGCAGTAAACATTTTAGTGTTGCAATCTTACCACTATTGCAATGTATAACTTATTAATTATCAAATTTTTCAATCATCATTTATAAATTGAATATCTAGTCTAAACCATAAACTTTTAACTACAATGATATTTATAGTACGATTATATACCAACTTATAGTAATTATGTTTTCGGTACCAATTTTAGCACATTAGGTGAGATTAGTACGCCGTCCCATATTTACTAATATAAAAGAAAGCAAAAATGAAAAGAGAGAAATTAAAGAAAAATTAATATATGTGAAATTATAAGATTATAATTATATAAATTTAATTTATATTGATGCATTAGAATACGTCTGAGAATTGTTTTGAGAATTATAGACAATTGTTTATTAAAAAATAATATAATTTCCCTCTTTACTTTTTTAATGACAAACTTTCATAATAACATATCAAAGTTCATGTTTTTAGGAATTTTTAGGTGGCCCAGATTATTTTATATTAATTAGCCCATTAGTAACGGCCATCCATATTCAACCAGATGATATGGATGATATTTTTTATTTGTTTATGCAATTTTATGTGCAATCTCTTATAAACTAGGAGGAGTTATTACCTTAGTTTTAGTAATCAACTTAAACTCGCTGTTGAAAAATATGCAAAGTATGTCAATAAGTTTAGAAATATTGTCCATATTATCAGTTTCTGCTTCGAAAAAATCTATTATCAACTAACAATTAATAAAAATATTGTGGTTGATATTTGCAGTACGGTCCATATTAACAGACTTAGTACGTATTGTATACGAAAATTTATTAAATATTCTTAGTTTCAGTTAGATTCTATGTTAAAAGGCTTAATGGAGAATTAAATGATTTTCCATCTCAGATCCGGTGTCTCTACATTTCACAATCCTATCACCGACTCTAATTGTTTTGTCTGTGTCGATGCAACAAGAGAATAGGAAGCAGCAAATACTGTAACTTTGAAGGGAGCGTTATTTTTTCCAAAAAGAATAAGTCATGAGCTTAAATTAAACATAAAGATAAGATACATTAAGACTTTCTTTAAGTAAGCGTTTAATTCTGATTCAAAATATCAAAGGGAGCACAAGCAACGAAGAACAACGGAGCGTCCAATTGTCTTTTTGCAACTGTTGTTCCGTTTTGATGTAGGTGTGCACTTTTCTTAAGCCCAAAATTGTTATTTGTTAATATTAGTAAAAAGTTTTTAAATATACATTCGAATAGTTTTAATTGAATATAATATTGTAAGAAGTGTAATATGTAATAATATAATGTGTAATATATAAATATAATGTGTTATATATAAATATTTATAAATATGTTTGAAAACATCATTAGAATTGTACCTCATGTAATAAAAATACTTAAATTTATTGTTTAATTAAAAATTTAAATTTAATAACTAACACTTTCATGTACAAAGTAAAAAAAATTAAATATAGTAAAACTTATATATGGTATGGCAAGATTTTAAATATTAAGGTTAAATTATGTATTCTATTAAGAAATATAATTAATTTTAAATTTGTTAATTATTATTGTTAGATATTTTTAAAAAAGCATGAGTCCTTAATTAAATTAAAAATTAACAAATAATTTGTTGCGATTGTAAACATATATAAAAAACATTAACATAAGTTTAGATAAGGCATATTTTAAATTTATAAATATGTAATTATTAATTTTAATACAAAAAAAACTTTTTTTAACTTGTTTACAATAAAATGTACGCATCCTATTTATTTCATTTAAAATCATTTTAAATTAAAATAATAAAATAAATAAGAATAATCTACATAATCTTTTGTGCAATTATTTATAATTATATATGTTAATAAATTAATGTTATGATTATTTGATTTTGTAAATAAATAGTTTTTAAAAAAATTATATTAAAATTCGTTTTAATAATGAGCAATTGAAATTTGTTTTATTTTTGATATTTAATTTTTTTTAATGTACAAAGATTTGAGTCTTACTTTCAAAAATTGTGAACCAAATAAAATAATAAAGCAATAAAAAAATAAATTGATAAAAAAAGAATATAATATTTATTTAATTTGTATTTTTAAAATACAACTCTTTTTAAAAAATCTTTTCAACACTTACCTTTTCAAACCCTATAATAGAAAACCAAATGAAAATTATTATTACATTTTAAAAGAATAAATATATAATAAAAAAATAAATAGCAAAATAAGTTATAAAATAAATAATTATATTATTAATAACAAAACAATTATATATCCTAAGATACGAAATTTGAAACTTTTATTTTAAAATAAAAAATTAAATGAAAAAATAAATAATATAAGAACCAACACTAAAGGCTTTAATAACTTAATAAAACACATAATTTTAAGTATTTTGGTAGAGAAATTACAATCATAACAACAACTTCTCCATTATAATTATAATGAAAATAAAAATAAAAATAATAATAATAATAAAAGAAAACATTACAAACAAGAATTATTATTGACCACGAATGCCGCAGCGAAAGCAACAATAATAAACGCCAATAAACACAAACATAAATACAAAAACAATACAAAAAGCCTGTATATAACATATATATGATGAAAAAAAAAAAAAACACACACACACACACACAAACATATATAAAAGAAGAAAAGTGTGCCACTGACCTAGTTTCGTACTCGTTTATAATAATTTCCAAAGCCTCCATCTACATTGGTTAGTTAAACTTGCCACTATCGCACACAAATGCACAGAAAATAATGGTAGTTATAAGTAATAAGAAAGCAGAAATAAGCAGCTACCACACATAGGAAATAATATTTACAAAAACAATAATATAAAAAGTAACAACAACAAAACACTAAGCAAAGATCGTTAGTTGGCAAATTTTATACTGGTACATATACAAATAAATACGTACCATATACGAATATACTGCATAAAAGCACACACAAGTTACTAGTTTACGGGTACATGCAACATTCTTCCAGCAAGAGACTGCTCGCTCTTCTTACCTGTTTATCCACACTGTTGTGTTTTATTATGCTTTCGCGTTAGTATAGTAAGTTGTCATTGTTAGTAGTTTCTTAGCAATTCTTCCATTTTACGAAGCCCACTGCAACCAATACAACCAATACAACCGAAACAATAAGAAACATCATGCATAATTATTTATTATAATTTATTTCTGGTCGCTCATAGAAATAGTTTAAAATGAAATGGTTATAAGGAGCTATCGCTATTGGTGTACATAATAACTCTATAGCTAAAACATATTGAATGTGTTACGGAAATATTGGATTGAATTTCTGAATACGTGCAGAAAAACTACTTAATAATATTAATAATATTAATAATATTTAATTAAAAACTCTTATGCTATCGTATTAATTA